TCTTGTTAAAGCTTTACAATTTACCCCCTGCCAACTTGAAGCAATCCTGAAGACTGCAATGCCGAACACAGTCCTGAACAACAGCAGGGCTGCAGTCCCAAAGAAAACTTCTCTATTTCTGTAACCACTGCAGAGGAAGCCTGCCCAGCCTTCTGGGTGAGGGATCAGCACCAACTTCCCTTCTCTGCAAACACACTGTTGACTTGGATCCCACCCACAACAGTGCACAGCTCTTTCTTTTTATTTTCTGTGTAGTTCATAAAGTGTCCGTTTCACTGCAATCCTGGCTTCAACTGACATCAATTGCTTGAGAGATTTTTTTAACAAGAAGCAAAGGCTGAATGAAGCATGTGGCAGGGAAGTGCTTGATGTTCAGAAAAGTTCCAGGGTATCAGATGACTTCAAAGCAGTGTATGCAAAGAAAAGCAGGACAGGAGGTCCTCCGAAAAAAGTCAGAGCACACATAGTAGATAATTTCAAACAATGTGTAAACAGGGGAGCAATTTAATCCCTGAAAACAGTGATTAAAACTTCCCCAGTCTGCCTGATAACCTAACAATTAATTGACCTGTAAGACTCTTATTTAGAAAACTAATGCAGGAAAACAAAAAAAGCATCTATTGGATTATTTTTACCATTTCCTCTTTTAGTGAAGATTTGGTTCCTGTAATGTATTCCCAGTGTTTCAGGCAGCAGAGATTTAATTGATGCAGAGTAGCAATTGCTACTAGCGTATTAAAGAGACAAACATCAAAATACAATTTTTTATATTATTAGAAAATTATTCTGAACGTTTAAGAAACTTAATTTGCTTAAATGACAACTCTGTATTCCTCAGATAAACTCCTTGTGTTACTTTAATTATTTTTTCTCCCACTGACCTCTATAAACTTAAGGGAAGATAAACAGAAACAATGTATCAAGTATCCTCTTAACCAGACAGAGGATTGCATAAGTAAGACTTATCCAACACAAAGGTCCACGCAGCACCAATGACCACACAAATAGTCAGAGAGCAGCTCAAGCGTCCTGTAGTGGCCACAGCTACAAAAATAAGTGCAAAGGAAAAAGCGATGCATGTTTTGGGGAATGCCAGATAACAAGAACAAACACAAACATAAACTTTACTTTGGTAACCTAAAAGGCAGATGGAGTAGATGACCCGAGAGAGAAACTCCCGTATGAAAATAGCTGATGTTGCATTTGAAACCTCATATTGAACGTAAAAGGCTTGAGAAAACGGGCACGGGAGACAAATGTCAGGGGCTGTTTGATTTCTCTGAACAATCCTGCAGACAATCAAATTTGTTCCTGAGGCTCTTCTTTCTGCCTTAATGGCTATGCAAATCTTTGCCTGTGGCTGGGCTGCTGGTGAATTATGAACCTTGGGAATCTCACTGACTGGCATTTCATTATATTCCCTCATCTCATTTCTGGTTTTACCCATCACATCTTTCTTTTATATACTGAGATTATAACATTTTCAGATGAGACTTCAGTGCTCCCCCAAGAGTTAGCACAGAGTTGCTCTCATCCATGCCTGGACACCTTGGATGCGAACACAACCCAAATTAATATCAGCTACACGATTTAAGTGCCGTTTTGTCATACACACAATGACATTCTTCCCTCCCCCCTCCATAAAGCTGCATCTCACAATTTACCCAGCATTTCAAGATCGTTGTTTCCCTTCCTCAGTACGTAAAGCATCTACATCCACATATGTATAAGTGAGTTTTGATCTATTCCGATTCTATGCCTGCTTCCCCAGTCCATTTTGAACAGAAACCACAATCTCTATGGCACCCATAATTTCTCGATAGGCAGCTCAACAATATGTAACACTGAAACAAAGCAAGCGACTGCTGTAAGCATGTCTAATTGGAGGCTTGTTATTCAAGACCATTTCTTCATTATGCTGGTTGTCCAGCACACTTCTTTCCCCATTTGACTATTTGCGAACCGGGTTATTTTCCCCCACCATATGCTACTTCATCTTTTCCCATGCCAAGTTACACTGTAGCTGTCAGCTCTGGTTCCGACCTATCTTCCACTGGAGTGGAGGCAAAAACTCCCTTCTGGTGCTGTAGCGGGTGCTGGGTGAGGTTATATTCACAGTCTCTGTAACCAATTGTCATCATATATCTCTGTCCTTTTCTAGTGTTTGCAACACTGCCTAATGTAGCATCATTTGTAAATGTAATTAATGAGCTGTTTATGTACTCTTCAAAAATCATTAATAAAGATGTTAAACTGCGTTTAGCGGTGCACCCTGAGTCATCCTGCACACTTCTGTCCAACTTGATACATTGCCATTCATCATTACTCCTCATTCATAATGCCTCCAGCAATTCTAATTCCCATGACACAATTCATGTTCAAAACAATTTGACTTGTGGGGGTTTTCTTCCTCTTTTTACATTAATTTCTAGACCTGCTGTCCTTTATGTTTTGAAGATAGGCAACACAGTCATGTTGCTACAATCCTTTAATGTCTTTCTTCTTCCTGCTCACTTACTATAACTGCTAGTGCTTTGACGCTTTCTGGTTTAGTTAATTCCTCTAGTATACTACAACTTGCTATCATCAATACCTATTTATTTATATGTTTCAAATATACATTGTTTTTTCTGCGTTTACGTAGCACCTATTTTAAAATTCTCTTTTTCCACTTTCCCATATTTATTTCGCCTTCTTATTAAAGAGGCAATCAAAATATGCCATCAATCAGCACAGATTATTTTGTCTTCCTTGTTTTACACATGTAACCTTTTCCCCCCTCCCCAATTTTTGTTTGTGTTCTCCCTATTGCAAATATATCTGTTGCCATACTTCAGTCCACACTCAGATGTTGTCTATTTGAGTCAATTTGAGTACTTCTGTTCTCTCTATTGGGTCTCTGCAAGCCTCAGGAGTCTGTAGATATTTTTATTCGTTTTCTTTCCTTTCCCTCTATGTCTACTGTATGGGTCTTGTGAAACCCACTTGTACTTTGTATTTTGTATTCTTTTCTTCAGACTCACAGTAATCTACTGCTCCTTAATTGAATGAATTATACATTTTACTTTGCCCCAGGCTTGAATTGTTCATTAGGGTAGACACTCAAGAAACCTTCACTTCCCAAAGCATCACTGAAATCACTGGACTTAGGGCTTTTCAGAACAGTCCATGATCTGTCATGTGGACTTTAAAATCCATATTGCTTGCTAAGATTCTTAATGCTGGTATGAATGAATGGCTCTTGGCTCCTGTTCAGCTTGTGCAGCTGTGTTCCGCAAGTCTGGGTGTTGAGTATTTTTTATCTCAAACAGGTGCACAGTCAACAGTGCTTAACCAGCAAGGAAATAACCCATGGATGACTTCTCCTGTGGTCATCTTTTCTTACTAAAATACCAGGCTAGTGTGAAACCCATGAGTGTGACCACTCTATTATTCCATGTTAAACACCAAGCTACCACCTAGCATGTCCTAAAATTACAGAACGACTGAAGACACAAGCATTGCCCGATGCTTAATGCAGTTTTTCCCTTTTACAGCATTTCATTAGTAGTTTCTTGTTTGGCTGGGTTTTTTTTGTTTGTTTGTTTGTTTGATTGATTTTTTTTAATTTTATTTTTTTATTATTATTTTTTATTTTCTTCCCTCCTCATAATAGGAATGCCCCAGAAGCAGCATGTAATTGTCCAGAGCCTGAAGGCAGGAACAAGGATGAATATAGGAGCAACAGCACAGAGATCTTACGGGATCCAATGAGAATCACAGCAGAACAGAAACATCCTTGTGTGTTTAAACAATCCCAGAGAGGAGTTCAAAACGTGTCCCCCCACCCCCAACTCCAAGGCTGCTTTCAGTACTAACTTATCTGCCCAGCATTAAAAGAAATAAAACATAAAAGGATCAAGTAACAACCGAATTGGGTACCAGCCCTCTTCCATGGCTGGACAATGGCACAGGGAGGGCTCACTGGACACCATTTTGAGAAGTACAGAGAGGATTTCATTAGCAGAAGTGTGAAGAGCACAGTTTATACCAACAAGAAAGAAATAAGCAATATTCATCAGGTTTAACTCTGAAGGGTACATATAACTTGGGCTCAAAGCCCTACCTCTGTCTTACCCCTTTCCTCATAATGCTTTATTTTCCATTTGTGACTTTTCAGTGTTATTAGCTTTTCTTTACTGAATATTTCATCCTGATATAATGTCATTGGTCCAGCTAACATTTTTTTAGATTGAGTGTGTGTGTGTTCTAAGTTGCCAAACATATGTGCTATCACACAACCAGCCAAAATGACCCATAAGGTGTGAAGTCAGGCTCAGGTGACAGCTTCCTTCTTGGTTAAGAATACAGAGAACTAACCTACAGATATCCAAAGACTTCAGCTGCAACAGTTTCAGCTACAGAATCAAATCTCCAGAGCCGGAGAGGGAACAGCTCCTTTTCTTTGTGCACTTGGAAAATCTGGCCTTTTGAGATACAAAAACGTAGCATGTATTTCAAGCAATCAAAGAACCTTTATAATGCAATGGAATATCATATAACAGGCTATGATTTTGGTGACTATGTGCTATAAGCAGTGCCACTTGACCAATACCTTTATTCTTAGGAAGAAACATTAACAGACAGAATAAACAACAAATTAATCACTTCTCATCTATTTAAGAGGCAATATTTCATGCAGTTATTCTCCTGACCAGTGGCTGCTTAGGTCTTTTTTAATAAATAATACAGTATAAGAATGAGCCACGGGAACAGCTCGCTCCCTTTCTCAATGAGACAGTTGTTTGTATCCCTCCTACCAGGCCAACTTTCCCTAACTCCTAAAATAAGCATATCCCTTTCCTCTAGCAACTATTTTCACCAAATGATATCTAATTTCCTGCTTTTTCACACCACATACAACAAGAAATCCTTCTGGAAGCCTACCATTATAATTATTCTACAGCAAGAAAACAAAGATCCAAATTACAAAAAATAATGTGTTCTCATACAGTACTTACAATCGATCTGATGTTGTTTTCTTTTGCCAGTTTCAGAGAGGATTTATAGCAATTTGCCAAGTTTTCTTTATGAGTGTCGGTGAGATGGCCTCTTGCAATCGGCCCAACAGTATGGATCACATCTGCAGGAAATAAAAAATAAGATTTTAAAAAAATAATAATTAGAGATCCTATGGGAGTTTTTTTACTTATGTCATGACTCTGCAGAACTACTACATCGCAAGTCAATCCATTCTGGTATTGTACCTAGACAAAAAGGTAGGAGAAATACTGTAAGAAAATGCTTATAACTGGAATTCATGTAATATACTACCTCTGTGATAATAAAAAGTGCAAAACAGCAAAGGCTAAATTTTGAAGTATTTGGACTAAAGGAAAAAATTAGAAGGATGCACTAAATGCTTGTTATATGTGTATGGCAATCCACATGCAGGATAGATTAAATGTTTTCATAAATATGCTAAATCTTTAGGGCTGTATAACTGTAAATATTGTACAACTTTGAAAAAGTTGTTCTCATCCCCTGAAGGTCCACTCCCTGGGAAAGTTCACTACACAAAACCTTAGCACGTTGATGGCAATACACGGGCTGTCTTTTTTTGTCTGGTACTTTAAGTCTTTTCTCAGCAACCATTCTAAGAGAAGAAAAGCTGTGAATTATGTGCAAGTTATTCAAAGAATGCGGTTTCCTCTCACGTCAGACCAGATGGAGACAAATGAAATAAACCAAAAGATTTCGTTTGAAGAAACTTATAATGAAGAAAAAGAGAAAGTATAGTCAAGGAATTTCTTAGGTATGATGCCTCTGGACTCATCAAAATCAGATGCTGTAATCAATCAAAGTCTCTAAAGTGCTATAAGAAAAATTAAGTTAAAAGCCTGGAGTAAAAAAGTCTTGAAAACAAATCTACAAACTAAAAGGTGTCATGATTTTTCTTTTAATCCTCCCCCACTCCCTCCCACTTTATTAGCTGAAATCATGTTTACTTTTCAAACGTCATTCTTCTACACCATGTGCGAACACAATAGAATGAGTTATGGAGGCAAGTACATATTTTGTTTTTTCCTTCCTTATCATCCCCCAACATATAGAGTAGCAGCAGCAGCAAACAGTGGCACTATTTTCTGCAGTGTTGCCACAAACTGGTATTAGGCCACTGCTTTCAACTACAAGTACCATTGGTCCCACTGGTTAGGTTGTATTTCTGTTCCATATGGGACAGGTTTCTAAGCAACATCTGCTGTTGATACACTCCAGAATATTTTAATTTACAAATCCTACAGAATTGACACTGTTATTCTTTGTCCAAGCTGTCTTTGATTATTTCCCTCTATCCTAGACCAAAGTATAATTTAAAATAGACAACCTAAAATGAAAATATATGTTGTCTTTTTTGTTTGTTCGTTTGTTTGGTTTTTTTAATCCAGACATCATCTGCCAAGTCCAGGTCTCTGCTACCTAGGAGGTGGCTTATGTGTTGAGACATATCTTTGAACACTTCCAGAATTTTTCTTCATATTATCCAGAAAGAACTGATAATTCAGCAAATAAAAGCATGTCAGAGAATCCCAGTGCCCAGAAACACAAATGAATTGGATGTGATGGGAAACTGAAACCCACAAGAGCTAAACTTCCCAGCTGCTACAGAAAACCACCCTACTGAGAAGAAATAAAAGGTTAACTCCTCTTCTTTCCATTTTGATCACAGTAATTTTCTCCAGTTGTGAGAACAAGATGGACAGATTGGATAATTTCTGTTGAATGTCACAGCTGCCAGAGAGTGACTCCAGCAAACCCTCTGTACAGCATTTCAGGCAACTGAACCATCAAGTAGGTTTTGAGTCTTTATCCACTGATAAACAGGATGATAGCAGGTGATTGAAACAAGCAGAATGGCTTCACCCAGGAGTTCAGAAAAGAGTTATTTTTTTACATGTTTTTTAGCTACTAGAATAAACTGAGAACTATTAACACCTAGGAAAAAAAAAAAAAAAAAAAAGAAATAGCATAGCTAGTTTAAAAATTGCTTCTGCTTGTGGAGATAAGTTTGCATGAATACATTCATTAGGAAAGACCATAGTTTCAGACTATAGCAGTTTCCTTCAGGTTGAAACCTTCCAAGGAAGATTTCTATTCAGAAGTGTTGGCACCTGGTCATTTGGAACTTCAGAGAAAGAAAAAGCTTCTCTTGAGTTTTCCTTTTTTTCTTTTCCTTGTTCTTTGTTTTTGAAAGAGGCATGCTGCAATTACTGAGCAAGAGGGGATGAATATGATAGTGAATCTAATCTCAATCAAGGTCATTCTACATTTATACACGCTAAGATCAGGGGTAGTGTGAGGCATTTCAAATTCAGAACACCCACCAGCCAACAAGCAAATAAAGGAATGACTATAAAACCAATTTTAAAAGTTTAAAATATGAATAAAAGACAGAATCATAAAAGATTTCCCTCTTTCTGCTAAGGCTGAGTTAACTTGCATTTCAAGGTGCAGCTGCCTAAAAGCTGAAGCTGAATGGCTTAAATTATTAATTTATTATTTAACACCAAGAATGAGTTTTGGGGAACAGCCCAAGTACCAAATTCTTGCTTGGGTCTTTCTGTATATGACTCCCCTTGGTATAATTTCTAGATGCATTTCACTCATCAAATGTTTAACTCTATTCCTTTAGCCTTCCATTATTAAACACTAATTTTAAAAATTCTCAGCTCAATAAATGGGAACTGTTTTTCTTGTCGTCTTTTTTTCAGAACTTCCTGATTTAGCATTTTCATGGTGCCTTGTTGCTACCCTCTGTTGCTGCACCAGACACTTCACATAAATAGGTAACCTTTAACGCAGCTATTAGCTTTTGTGTTTTAATTTTTACAAGCCCATCATAGGTCACTCTTTAGACAGGACACAGAAGATGGTTATGAAATGGTTTATAAAATATCAAAACTACTGTAGTTGTTTACAGCGTATTATTGTCAAAAAATGCTTTTCTTAGGCACATTATTATCCTGAAACACCTGATAGAGTACGTTTTTACTAGCAGAGCAGCATTAAAAATATGCCAGTGTTTCACGGTCAGCAGATGAACAGGGAAGTAATAATTTTATTGTTGTACTTTGTCAACAAAATCAGTGTATCCATATATTGCCTAAACTATACATTATTCTGCTCAAGCTATTCCACAGTATGTTAAGGTTTGCAGGCAAGCAAAATCCTTTGAGATTATACAGGCAGAAAGAAAACAAACCAGAAAATAAAACAGCTCTCCTCCCACCTCCCAGCCCATGCAGATAATATATGAGGATCTGACTTCACAGGCTGAAGCAGAGCCATTTATTTTTTAATATATATACGAAGACTGTGTCAATCTTCCAGCTTGTCTGTCAGAACAAACTTCCCTTTCTGCTCACACTTTCCCCCTCACCCAGCTTCACAGAAAGGGAGGAATTTATACGCTATGAAGCCGGAGGACAGAGGAGGGTGGGTGTGCTGGATGAGGGAGGTCTACTGGCATTTGTCTGCAAGAAAATTAAGGGGTAGAACCACTGTCCTGCTGCACCGGGCACCCACTACAGCAGCCAGCCCCAAATGCAAACCTCCAGCACCGCTGGCAAGGACAAACGTGGATGTGCAAGCCTTGATTATCAACTTCCACACCAGTCTACCCACAGGACAAGCACACAGCCTAGAGAAGCACATGGCCTTTCTGAAGCAAACAGGACTTCCAGGTCAGACTTCTGCGACAGAAAAAGACCATCACAGGACACGTGCAGGGCTGTTTCACCACGGGAGAAGGCAAACCAACTGCAGAGGGCAATACAGATGGGAGCACCAGCCGTGGGGATGACCATGACAACGGGCTGAAGGTACACTGTGCAGAGGCACAACGGAATGAAACAGAAGCGGGCTCATCACCTGAAGACTTTTAAATGGGGGGAAATGCAGAGAAACTCCAAAAATATATAGTTTGTCTGGAAAAGCCTGGTAGAGATCTCTGCTACCAAATAACTCCTGTTCCTTCTTCGAGCTCCTGTACGCCTTTGCTGTCTGAGCATTTCTTAATGGGGTCAAACAGGAGCAAGGGATATGAACATTTCCCCAAAATGTCCCCTAATATGTTTTTTTGTTCTTCAGAATCAGGTAAACAGAGTAAAACTGGGAACAGACAGCTCTTGGAGATTGTCACACTTGCCATTTGTAGTATTTTAATTTTTATGCCAAATAAAGCTGCCAGCACTGCTTTGAAGCTTCTGATTTACTATAGTCAGTCTCTCAGCCAAGAACATTGATAAGAAACTTCATTAAAAAGAAAGCTGCAATCCACATGTTTGTAAATCACTTTCTCTGTGTGCACAGAGCAGAGATGTTTGCTTACATTTTTAATAGTACGCCAAGGTGAAGAGCCCCAGAGGAAGGTATTCTCATCTGGGGTTTGGGCCACAGCAATGGATCAAACTGCTTTTAATACTGATGAAGCTGCTTAGTTTTAAAGCGATAGGGAAGGAGATGTTTTTTCCTACAAAAATGCTTCCAAAGAGAAGGTAGGGGTGGTTGAAAGCACAGATCTATGTTGTACAACAGTATTTTGGAGCTCCTGAAGGGCTGAAGCAACATTTTATTTTTACACTGGCTTTTCTAAGATTTGCATTGCAACACACGGTTGATCCAAGGAGAGCTTGTAGGATCTATTGCTCTCTTTCTGGTCATTTGACTTTTAGGCATTTGGTTAGAAATTCTGGTGGCCAAAGCAAAGCCTGTGGCAATCTCACTCTGATTTGTGCATGCACACCCTCTGTATCATCTCTTCTTGTTTTCGTTCTGTTTTTTTTTGTTTGTTTGTTTTTCCCTGAAGCACTATAATGCAAGCAGACAACTGACTCTTGTGTAAACCACACACTAATCTGGAGGTATAACAGGCGCTTGGGCATTTAAAACATCCTTGTCACTATTTAGCCACCAGTGAAAATAAATATAATTTGCACATTTAATCAACACTTCGAAAGCACAGCAACTCTCCCCTCAAGCTCCCATATAGGCCAGTCAAAAATGAAACTATGTCTGCTGTAGCATACAAACTCTATGTGTAAAAAGGCCAATGAGGCTTGTTTGCTCTGAGTCTTTTTTATT